AATTGAATTGAATTGAAAATAAGGAATCCTTTTCTCACACTGTCCTGGACTTGAAAAACCATAGACCTTATTGGTGAGTTAAGGGTGACTGACTGAATATATAGACTGTACGACTGCATATAGGAGCACATGGGCATGTGTATGTAAACAGATATTAAATAAATATCAAAAATAAATAATAATCAATTAAATATGAATCTGTGAAGTATAATAGTTCATATAGTAGTTAATATAAGGTGTATTGTGTCACTAACTGTTATATTTTATTTTAAAGTGACTCTACATTTAATTTTGACCTTTTACCCTTTTTATTTTTCATATTTCTAATTTATTTTAGTCTTATTATACAGTATACATGTCATGCTCTGTGCCTTCCATTAAAGGTAACACAGTTTTAGTACTTTGGCAGTAACAGAACAGTAACAGAAATGATGCATTTTGTGTTAAGAGTTTTGCTGATTTAAACTCTAAGTCTGGACACACAAAATTATGATTCCTTACCAGACTTGTGGTGACCATCTCCTCAAACCATTTGGACTGAGACTGGTTATAAAGGTCCACACAGCGCATCAGATCGTCTCCTGAATAAAGAAATCAGATTTAAATTAATGTAATGTAATGTTGTATTAATGTACATGTACATACAGGACTCCAACAGACCTGACCAAAATGTCCGCTAACTTTGTTTCTCTATAATACTGTATATCAAAATGTGTAGTCCACAATTTGTCCACTAGGTGGTGCTACTACCCAACTGTTCACACACACAGCTGCTGTGTCGCCACAACACATGTACAGTATTTGTTCCAGCTCACTCAGCTGATATGATTATCCCCAACAGTGCAGACAGTCTGACTGATAATGGATTTCATTATGATACCGTGAGCAGTGATAAAGGGAAAGGTCTAATCTGTCCTTTCATTAATGCTACAGCCTGCATCCTGCTGACAACAACAAACACTAATCAGCTGTGAGATTAAATCAGGAAATGATGCTGATCATTCTGGTCACCAGCAGATGAATCTCCATCTTCTACAGTAAATGTCTGCTGGTATACCTGCTACTTTATATTAACATTAAATAAGAGGGTTCCAACAGGTCCGCAGAAAGGTTACTGTTATGATCTCAGGTTTCACTGTTCCCTGCCACCTACAGTACACACAGTTATGTCATTTTCTGCCAAGTCATGTCTAATGGTAAATGAGCAAGTTTATAGCCTGGGTCCCGGCCTCTCAATCATCCCACACAACTC